TCCCTAGTGTCTGTGTCCCCATGCCCCCCAGCCAGTGTCCCTAGTGTCTGTGTCCCCGTGCCTCCCAGCCAGTGTCCCTAGTGTCTGTGTCCCCATGCCTCCCAGCCAGTGTCCCTAGTGTCTGCGTCCCTATGCCTCCCAGCCAGTGTCCCTAGTGTCTCAGTTTCCCCATGCCCCCCAGCCAGTGTCCCCATGTCTCCCAGTGTCTGTGTCCCCATGTCTCCCAGTGTCTGTGTCCCCATGTCTCTGTGTCCCTAGTGTCTGTGCCCCAATGTCTCTCAGTGTCTCCATGTCTCACAGTGTCCCCATGTCGGTATTCACAAGTGCACACATGTTTCCCAGTGTCCCCATGTCTCACTGTGTCCATATGTCTCTCAGTGTCCCCTAGTATCCTAGTGACACGGTAAACACTGAGACATGGGGAGAAATGAGGACACTGAGACACTAGGGGGCTGGGCGACATGGAGACACTGACACTGTGATACATAGGGACACTGATGCCAGGCTGGCCTTCCACTTTTTTGGACAGACATGCCCCCTTTTTGGGCATGTTCGCCATTTTGGCAGTTGTGGTCACATGATTCGGGTCAGTGGCCCACACTTTTACCCTGCCCATTGACTTCCTGCTTCACTGGACACTGCTGTTAGGGGGTATGGATTTACTTGAAAGATGAAAGCATCAATTAGAGAGGGATTAGCATAGAGTATGTGTTTTCTTATAGCTGCATCCTTTGAGTTTCCCTCCAACACCATCTCCATCAGATACATGACGCTTGGGAGATATGACTGTTTTAGTGTTTTTAGTCGATAAGATTCTGTAATTAGGCCCATCATAATTGTCAGCACCAGGCCCACTGGGCTCTTAATCTGGCCCTGCTCATGATGCCAGCACATGGACAGATATTGCATATTAATAAGTAAATTACAAATATTAGCATTTTAAAATTTATTGGCTATTTTACATCATTAGTCATATGAACTAATATGTCCATTAGGCCATTATAAGTGCTGCTGCAATTCTTATATGACGTGGTAATATGATTTCAACACAATTTCCAAATTGGTTATGTAATCTAATATGGCCTCCAAACCACATGAAATATGGAGTTCATAATGATGGTGTCAGAGCAAACTGTTGATACTTATTATGGCACCAATTTTAACCCCTTAAGTACAGAGGCAATTTACAAGGTCTGACCAAAACAAAATGTAAACAAAACCTGGGATTTGGCTAAATGTCTATACACCCATAAATTACCACTTTCATATTAAGTACACCCACACTTATTATATATCATTTTGTTCAGGAAACAGGGCTTTCATTTCACATCAAATATTTAGATATGAAACATAATAGATTTTACTGCAATAAAATACACATATTTGTATTCAGCAATGTCTCACGAGTAAAACAGTACAGGTTCTATGGTGTTTTGGAAAGTTACAGGGTCAAATTTATCACGTTAATTATTTCAGTTTATACAAATTGAAATTTGCCAGATTGGTTATGCTGCCTTTGAGACTGTATGGTAGCCCAGGATTGAGAATTACCCCCGTGATAGCATACTATTTGCAAAAGTAGACAGCCCACGGTATTACAAATGGGGGTATGTCCAGGTTTTTTTTACTAGCCACTTAGTTCAAACACTGGCCAAAGTTAGCGTTTATATTTGTTTGTGTGTGAAAAATGCAAAAACAAATTTGAACAATTCATTTTCTTTCCCTAGGGTCCAGTGCAGCTGCTATGATCTTGTAATCTTTGAGCTCTTCTTGCTTTGCTCCTTCATGCTCTGTTTAGTGATGATGGGGCCGGATGGCGTCATATCCTGGCTCTCGTCATCACAGTAGGACACGCAAGGGAGCAGAGCAAGAAGAGCTCGAAGTATGCAGCTCCCTCGCCTCCTGACTCAATTTATGCTTAGCATGGGCTGACAAACACCCAGGGCCAGGACAAAATTCGTAGCCGCCATGGCGGCAAAATGTCTGTTATTAAAAAGCATTCCCAGATTCCATAACAAGCAACTATTTAACACAAAATGTATATACTTATGTCTCTTTAGAAACTCTATTGCTTTGTTACATTTCTACACTGAGAATACATCTCCAATTCAAATGCCATTTTTTTTCAGTCATATGCTACATACATTATACTGCTCATGCTTTATCTGCAGTAAACAAGAATTTTTGAATTTTTAACTACTCAACTTAAATTAAAACTTTTATCCAAATGTAATTAATGGAAATTGTTTATATTGTGTAATTCGACTAAACTATGGTAGTAAATATACAATATTTCTATACTTTCTGCTTTATTTTATTGTGTGCATATTATTAAAAGTATTTACACAATCCAGATAGATCACATCTACTTAATCTCCAAGGTCCATACTGTGATGCATTGCTTCATTAAAAGCAAGCAGATTAGAAATTATTTTGACATGGCCTTTTGCTCATAAAATCTTGCGAACACCTACAATTATATAAACAATTTTCTTGATTACATCAGTCTTTTCCTGACTATTTCCAGACTTGGAATCTGTTTTTAATAATGGTATCACATTTCTTAAGGCTAATCAAGATGGACAATTCTGGATGGAACCTAAGCCCTGAAAAAGTATAAATAAAGGTCTGCCAATCATTGAGCTAAACCTAAGTTAGACAGAACTATAACTTCTCTGGAAATTACACCACTTAATATTACATTAATAATCATCTATAACTTGTGTTAGCTTTTCTCATATGATACTCCATTTTCTTTTAAATACGTAAGGGGTAGCTCTTATATTGTTAATACGTGTAGCTAAATAACTTAAAACACCCACAGCCCCTCACACAGCAAAACTCCCCTCCCTACTCCCAAAATCGTCCCTGGAAGAATCAATACACAGGGACAACAGGTTGCAAGCAAACTTGTCTCTAGTTGCTTTATTGGTAATAAAAAGGCATCTGAAATTTTTAACTAACAATAACAATTAAATAAGGTGGCAGCCTGAATCCCTATCTACATGCCTCAGGCCACAAGAGGATGTGATTCGCACCTGGACCTGCAGCAGAGCCACCATTGCATTCAGCCAAGCAGAGGCATAATGGACCGAAGGAGAGTTCTTTGGCCCTAGCACCTTAGATGTTTTGAAAGGGCATCCCAGCAGGAAATCACCTATAGGGGGAAGCAACCCAACTTCACAGCTGCCCTCTGTCCACCTATCCATTTCTGTCCTCCATCTCTGCCCAGTAGCCGTGGTGCTGCCAGACCACATAACTGACAACAACCTCAGGAGCCACTAAATTACAAGGTCAGGACTCAAAGGTCTAGTTCGACTTAATAGATCCTGCCATGACCAACTAAGACCCATTAACAAGAGGTGAGAAACTCACACAATACAAACAAGAAGGGAGGGATGAGTGGAAAACCTGCAAAGTGAACCAGCAGCTGTACGGGCCCAAATAAGACAAGAGTAGGCCCCTACCCCTTGCCTACAATGTAACTATTTAGCAAACCTCCCTCCAAGGAGACAACCTCTTAATATGTTATGTGCTCATGGACAGCTGTTTCGTTGTTAATGCAACTAACAACGCATTGCACTAACAACGAAACAGCTGTCCATGAGTGGTTTATTGGTTTAGCCCTCTTCCTCAGTTGTGTTTCAAAGCTGTTGTAGACAGCAGACACATACTCCAAGGAATCCATGTATAAAGTAGAATTATGAGGACAAAATGTGGTTCTTTATTGAGCTCATTTGCATACGCCTATCCAGAATCCCTTGCAGTAGTGAGAGCACTGTTAAAGTGAGATTTCTGTGGGAAAAGAAAGTCTTATGGCTTTACTGGTGTGTGTATTTGTGTTTAGCAATGTATTAACTTTCCACTTACTTCAGGTGGATGAGGTTTTCATCCACACATCTTTTCCCACCACAACTCTTATGGTTTATTTATATATATATAGTGATAAAGTACATGGTGTGTGTAATGGAACCGCTTGGCACCCTGATCGGGTACCTTGCGTTGACGGATGCTCCTAGTGCTTTCCGAGGGCTCCAAGCACTCCACCTGACACCATAACCACTGCAGACCCCATGAACTGCCGCAGCTTGGTTGGGGTCTCGCTGTCTCCACCCACTCTGGACCCAAGACCAGAGTCCAGCTTCCAGTAGGTCGACCTCACCGAATTCCAGAGAGCAGGAACCAGAAACAAGCTCTTAGCAGAGCTTAGTGATTATACTCTGGGGAGTATAGTGATTATAGCAATCGACAGAGTGTAGTTCTCCAAATTCCCCAAATATGAGCCGAAACTTCAGGAAGGTACAAGATGATCTGTTTAATGAGTACACAGGAATTTCTTATATACACATTTTCCCACAAGGTTACCACCCACTTGGACCTTGTGGTACACAGGATACAAAGTTACAACAGCCAATCAACACAGTACAGTACATTCAGACACTCCCAGCTAAGGCACACAAACCCTCCCCTCTGCCTATGATACAATTACTACACACAATGGGCTAACTTAATTATAACAGGCAGGAAATATACAGTTTTTACCCAAAACACAGAAACACCCCAAAACAGCAACATATCCTCATACATCCCTGGATAGCCCTGATCTGGGTGAACAACATATCCAAAAATCACCCAGATCAGAGCAGGGGTTCAGACGTTTTATGGAAGTCATATTTGACCGACGGAAAGCATGGCTTTCATGCCCAAAACAGTTCCACAGATTTAGGCTGTGCGGCCGGTCTATCTTCTCCTCTATCCTGGAGATAATTGGCTTAAGTGGGTGTCGTAAGCCAATTATCTCCAGGTACAGGAAATATCTCTAAGTCCAAAAACTGTTGCAAAAATGACATAAAAATACATAGCTCATATAATACAATGTTTAACCTATATGTCCAACATATCCCCAGATAGCTTGGATCTGAGTGCTCAATATGTCCGAAAAGCGCTCAGATCTCACGAATACAGTTGGATCGCCATGGGGTTAAACAATAGCAAGGGCTGATGAGAGACTGAGGAGGGGCAAAGCAGCCAGTTTCAACATGCTGGAGAACAATAGGACAGGAAAAAGGTGGAGGGGAAGAGGCACATTTTCCAATGAAATTTAAGAGGCAGAAAAAGTGTCTTAAAATCCAATAATCCCAAAAGGGCTTTTAAAGGGCCGTACATCCCAGTGGCCAAAATCACATGGTAAAAGGCTATCCATTAGTCCTCTCCAAGAACAAGTGGCGAAGGGCAGTTTGTCACAGTGTGATCAGTGAATGAGTCTATATTTCCCCTAGATTTCTAGAGAAGCATATGACACGTTTAGAGATGGGCTGATGGGGTGGAGCATTTGGAGAGTAGGGCAGGCCGGTGCTCCACTCCTCAGTTTACAAGCAGCTGGGAGACATAAGATCCAGGCCAGGAATGCAGGCTGTCTCCAACCCATTGCTCAGCTGCAATTAATCAGCTGCAGCATTGGGAATAAACCCCTCCATGCTAGGCAGGTAATAGAGATCTTTGGTTTCTCCTTTGGAGGTCGGTAGCAGCAGGCTGGCTTGGAGCACTGGAGTGCAGAAAGTTTACAGTCAAGGTGTCAGAGCACTGGAGTACAGATGTTGGTAGTCAAGATGACTGAGCACTGGAGTGCAGAAAAGAGACAGAAAACAAGGTTGGTGGAACCTGTGTTTTGTTAAATTTAACCCTTGGTAGATAGGGACTTAAATGTCAGTAAGTGCTCAGACGAGCTAGGATTTCATTTGCAGGGAATTCAGTTATATTATTGTTTCTTTTGTATTGTTGCTGTCTTTTGAATGGATTTTCAATAAATTGCCTGGATTGATGTTAAAACCAAAACACTGCGCTTGTTTTATACCATAGAGGACCATGCTAATTACAATACAGGATCACTATATATATATATATATATATATATATATATATATATAAACTCACTCTCTCCCCCCCAAACACCTCTGATGCATTGAGACATGGGATCCTCAAGACCTTTTAACCTGTTCTGTGGTATCTGGCACCAAGATATTAGCAGCAGATCCATTAAGTCCTCCATGGATCGTATTAGTTCCAGCACAACCCACAGATGCTCAATCGGATTGAGATTGTCATGTTCCTCAAACTATTCCTGAACATTTTCTCAGTGTGGCAGGGTGCATTATCCCCAGGAGTGTATGTGGTCTGCAACAATCTTTAGGTAGGTGGTCCATGTTAAAGTAACATCCACATAAATGCTAGGACCCAAGGTTTATCAGCAGAACATTGCCAAGGGCATAACACTGCCACCACCGGCCTGCCTTCTTCCCATAGTGCATCCTGCTGCCATCTCTTCCCTATGTAAACAACACACATGCACCCGGTCATCCACCTGATCTAAAAGAAAACATGATTAATCAGATCAGGCAACCTTCTTCCATTGCTCCATGGCTCAGTTGCTCACATCCCTATTGCTTTCAGCTATTGGCAGGGGTCATCATGGGCACTCTGACTGGTCTGAGGCTGCACGGCCCATACACCGGAAACTATGATGTGCTGTGTGTTCTAACACCTTTCTATCATGGCCAGCATTAAGTTTTTCCACAATTTGAGCTACAGTAGCTCTTTTGGTGATCGAACCAGACAAGATAGCTCTAGTGCCTGACCAGACACCAGTACTGGATTGACCCTTGTGTTCTTTATTCAGGCTGCTGCTTCTCTGGACTGTGACCCCTTGACTGACCACGTCCACAATCTGGGCTCCTGTCTTCCCAGCCTGACAGAGACATTGTTTGATTTTTCTACCTCGGCATACTATGTACTCACACCTCTGATGCTCATCTTCAAGAGTTGTCTAGGGCTGCACCGTTCCTAATGAACTCCCTTCCCAGCTACAGTCTCCTACCTACATAGCTCAGTCTCCATTCCTTCAAAAAATAATTCAGAAGTAACTTTCTCAGGAAAGCATATCAACTAAAATGTTAATAGCTGTGACGAGACCAATCTCGCCACATTGCATTGGAGAAGCCTGGTTGCTCGCCTGCTGCCTTTGGACTATGGCCCCCTTTTAAAAGACTTTATTTTTGCCTGCAGAAAAGCTGTATTCGTGCTTTTCTGCCTGGGTTTCAGTAGATTTGTTTGAATGTGTTATACCCCAGATGGGAATCCAATGGAGCCCATTCGTATGAAACTGACTGTAAAGACTTTGGCTCCATGGTGATTAAACTGTATTTGTGTGGTCCGAGCGCCATTCACTTAATAATGTGCGCTCAGACCTGAGCTATCTGGGGATATGTGAAATGTCTGTGTTTTATGTATAAAAGGTGACTTTATGTATTTTAAAGTGTTTTGTGTCTTTTTGCAACCATGTGCTTAATGGAGTCTTGTGTCTGTCCTGGGAGATAATTGAATTACTTATCTCCAGGATAGAAGACTCTGAAACTGGTTTGGGCAAGAAAGCCATGCTTCATTTAGTCACAAAGGACTTTTTACTAACTTTTGAACCCCTTGTCTGATTTGTGCCATTTTTGAATATGTTGTTCCCCTGAATGGATTGATTGAGAATATGTAATTTTATGTGAATGTGTTGTATGGTTTTGGAGTTATGAAAGTTGGGTAGAAAGTATGTTTTAACTGTATGTATAATTGAGTTTCCTCTCAGGATAAGGGGAGGGAATATGTGGGATGTAACTGTGATATGATTGGTTGTTTTATCCCTCCCTGTGGGTGGTCCTATATTTGAAACACTGTAATAAAAACCAGGCTGGGTGTGCCAGCACCTCAGACCACTGCTTGACCCTCAACACGGAGCCTTGTCTCGTTCTTGGGGGGATTCACTGTATGCTGTTAGAGACTGATTGCCAGGAGTGTAAGCTGTTCGTCTGCTTTTCCTGTTCGTCTGCTAGCAGCTATTTGGGAGGTTCCAGTTCGGGAGTTGGAGTGCTATTTTGTATCCAGTTCGGGAGTCTTGGTGTTCTGCAGTAGCTGTGCCTGTATCTCTGGAAAGGGGGCCGATCGCCTAAACGGTTTTTACCCCTTGTGTGCAAAACGGTCCGTTACAATTGGTGGCAAGCGGCGGGATCGTTCCCACAGACAACAGGACAGCTACAGGCAACACCATTCCGTGGATTTACAATTTGAGGGCAACGCATGTCTGAGTACAGCGACCCTGACAGCAACAGGATGGAACCAGCAGTGGAGTACAGATACTCTATGAGAGAGTATGACCGTATGATGTGGTTGCGGCTGAACTTCTTTGGACCCAATCCAGCTGAGAAACACGTGCAGTCCATGAGGAACCTAGTGTTCATGAATCTGCAACACCGGGCAGAAAGAAAAGGTCAGCTGGCACGTTGGGAAGAACTCCAGCGACAGGTACTGCAGGGAATTGGGAGCCCAGTCTCCATTCCCCAGCGGCAGTGTGATATGCAGGGAATTGGGAGCCCAGTCTCCATTCCCCAGGGGCAGTGTGATATGCAGGGAATTGGGAGCCCAGTCTCCATTCCCCAGCGGCAGTGTGATATGCAGGGAATTGGGAGCCCAGTCTCCATTCCCCAGCGGCAGAGTCAATTGCAGGGAATTGGGAGCCCAGTCTCCATTCCCCAGCGGGAGATATTGCAGGGAATTGGGAGCCTGAGCTCCATTCCCCAGCAGCAGGCTGAGTTACAGGGGACAGAGATAGTTGCTCCTGTCCCCCAGCAGCAGAATGAATTGCAGGGAATTGGGAGCCCAGTTTCCATTCCCCAGCGGGAGAAATTGCAGGGAATTGGGAGCCCAGTCTCCATCCCCCAGCGGGAGATATTGCAGGGAATTGGGAACCCGAGCTCCATTCCCCAGCGGGAGATATTGCAGGAAATTGGGAGCCCAGTCTCCATTCCCCAGCGGCAGGCTGAGTTACAGGGGACAGAGATAGTTGCTCCTGTCCCCCAGCAGCAGAATGAATTGCAGGGAATTGGGAGCCCAGTCTCCATTCCCCAGCGGCAGTGTGATACGCAGGGAATAGGGAGCCCAGTCTCCATTCCTCAACGGCAGAGTGTCCTACTGGGAATAGAGAGCCCAGTCTCCTTTCCCCAGCAGCAGGACTCTGTATTGGGAGCAGAGACAGTCGGTCTCCCTCCCCCGCGGCTGGAAGTATATATGGGAGAGGAGCTTGTTACCCCCTCTCCCGAGCGGCAGCTTCATGTACCAGGGGGAGACAGTAAGCCCCACAACGGTGCAGATGGGACCGTAGTCTCTACACTGCCAGCACAGGGGGTAGGGACGGTCGGTTCTGCCCCCCAGCGACAGAGCTGCGTGTCCAAAGGGGAGACAGTCAGTCTCCAGCAGCAGGACTGTGTATCTAAAGGGGAGACAGTCGGTCTCCAGCAGCAGAACGGTGTATTTAAAGGGGAGACAGTCGGTCTCCCCCTCCAACAACCAGGCTTCAACCAGGCTACCCTCCCAGTAGCGCTGGCAACAGGGCAGAGTGCCGCTGGTCTCTGCCCACGCAGCAACCCACCCAGTCAGCGTACCAGTACCCAGCACAGCCGTGGTGAGGCACCTGGACATGGACAAGCTTCTCCTTTACCCAGGTGTAGTAACCATTTATTGTGGGTGGGCTGTGCTGTTGATTATGTTTTGTGGGTGGGCTGCTGGACTAACAAGGGCACTGACCGGCAGGAGGTCAGATACCCTGTTAGTCTGTTTGGAAAAGGGAAGAGATGTGACGAGACCAATCTCGCCACATTGCATTGGAGAAGCCTGGTTGCTCGCCTGCTGCCTTTGGACTATGGCCCCCCTTTTAAAAGACTTTATTTTTGCCTGCAGAAAAGCTGTATTCGTGCTTTTCTGCCTGGGTTTCAGTAGATTTGTTTGAATGTGTTATACCCCAGATGGGAATCCCATGGAGCCCATTCGTATGAAACTGACTGTAAAGACTTTGGCTCCATGGTGATTAAACTGTATTTGTGTGGTCAGAGCGCCATTCACTTAATAATGTGCGCTCAGACCTGAGCTATCTGGGGATATGTGAAATGTCTGTGTTTTATGTATAAATGTGACTTTATGTATTTTAAAGTGCTTTGTGTCTTTTTTGCAACCATGTGCTTAATGGAGTCTTGTGTCTATCCTGGGAGATAATTGAATTACTTATCTCCAGGATAGAAGACTCTGAAACTGGTTTGGGCCAGAAAGCCATGCTTCATTTAGTCACAAGGACTTTTTACTAACTTTTGAACCCCTTGTCTGATTTGTGCCATT